CTGGCCTGGCCTGGCCTGGCCTGGGGGGGGCTGGGCTGGGGGGGGTGGGGGCTGGGGCCTGGGCTGGGCGCATTTTGGGAGCATTTTTGGAGCATTTTGGAGCATTTTTGGGCTCCCCGCCTCCTGGAACAGAGCATTTTTGGAGCATTTTCGGAGCATTTTTGGAGCATTTTTGGGGCATTTTCCAAGGAAACGCATTTTGGGAGCATTTTCGAAGCAATTTGGGTGCATTCTTGGCTGCCCGGGTGCATTTTTCCTCTTGTTTGGCTGAGCTAGGACTTGCTCCGCAATTGTAGAAGTCAGCCTAGAACTGTTCCAAAAATGCGCCAAAAATGCTACAAAAATGCTTCGGAAATGCTCCAAACAATTCTGGGAACCTGCAAGCGCAATTTTGTCGCATTTCTGGAAGCTGGGCCAGCCCGGGGGTGCATTTTTGGAGCATTTGTTTGTTGGTTGGGTGCGCTTTTTGGCATAGTTTCCGTTTCAAAGATCTTGCTTTAAGCTTGGAAAACTCTGGCCGAAATTTCACGCACCTATCTGGAGCCATCTATTTGGCAAGTGATGTCAACCGAAAAATCGCTAGACTCACTAGACTGGACTAGAACCAATGCAATTTGGACTCAAAAGAGTTCGAGTCTACCTCAATTAACCTACTAACCTAGTGACCGAGTATAAGTAGGCTTCCCTCGCAAACGTGGCCTTGGCCCTTGGAAAAGCACTCATGTCAGGGCCCTGGCCCTGGCCTGCAAGCGAAGCAAGCTGCGAAAGCACCCAGGATCTCCAGGTTTCAGAAGGCATTCCGAGACACTTCTCGGACTGCGACGATCAGCTTCAAGGGCCTGGCAAGTATGTCTTGAGTCTTGAGTCACATCTCCGATGCCACGGCACCGGAAGCAAAACAACAACATCTTGCAGTCACACAGGATCTGGAGGCTGTGACTGCTGGGGGCACTACAGTCTGCCTTACGGTGTTACTAGGCTTACAGTAGTAACCTAGTAACCTGGCGCAAGCTCATTGATTGTGGCTGCTGTACCTGCAGTTTCAGCTATGGCAGCTATGGCAGCGGCTTTCTAAGAAATTGCAAGAATCTGCAAGACTCTGCAAGAAGCCTTCATCATCTCCTGCAGTTTCAGAACGTCGTCCTCGCTGTACTTGTCTTTCCGAAGCAAAGCTATGTAAAGCCTGGCATGGAGCATTGCAACCAAATCGCACGGAGCAGCAGGACAAGCATAGAAGAAGACGCAGCAAGGATGGTTCGAAATACCATCTTCTTATCTTATTCTCTCCGTCTCCCTCTCCCCTACCCTTACCCCCACGCGCTTTCGTTCTCTGTCTGGCTGTCTCCCTCTCTCTCCCTCTCCCCTTCGTACTCACTCCCACTTCATTTTTCTCTCCGCTGGAGCAAGTCCGCTTGATCTAGCAATCTAGCTCTAGGCCTCCCTCGCGCTCTCTCTGTGTCTCTCTTCGTCCCTATCAGCTCATGTGTAGTGGCCTCGAGATTGGCGGATCTGACTTATATGACTTCGTAGTGTGTGGCGCGAACCATGTAGCAAAGTCACCTGGTCAGCATCCTAGATCCGACTCTATCCTTTTCCTCCAGCGAAACGCATGAAATTCAGCTTCGAACTCAGTGATCAGTGGCCGCCTCACCTGGCTGCCTCAATCTCTGGAAAACCCAGCAGCACGGTGACCGAGTATGCACGTATGGCCTATGGCGTCGGACCTAGGGCTCAAGATCTAGGGAATCAAGGGCCGAGCCTAGGGCCCTAGACTAGGGCCTAGAGGCCTGGCCTAGAGGGCCTAGAGTCTACAATCTACAGATGTTCTCGTCTCGGATGCCCCTTCGCCGAGAATATCTCGGCAAAGGAGGCATCCGAGACGAGACTGCCTCGTGCACCAAAAAAACAAACTTCTGCCGAGACAAGGCCAGCTCTATGCCAACAGGGTTTGGGTTTAAACTTTAGGGTTTAGGGCTTTGGGTTTAAGGTTTGTTGAGAAGGCCTCAGCCCTGCAAACTTTCGTCCCCTTTCAGGACATTCCGCCCTTTCTGAGGGACTCTCAAAACCCAGGCGTGGCGGGTGGCAGAGGAAGCCATCAAACCTGCAAGCATCGGAGCAGTTCAGGGTCGTCACATAAGCATGGGCTCCCCAGCCTCATGAGCCAATCCGCCCCAAGGCCACCCGAAGCATGCTTTGGAGATGTCCTGGACAATGAACAAGAATTGATTGGAAGGAACGGGCCTTGAATCTTTGGCCTCGTTTGCTGGGAACCCTGCATTGAGAACATGTTTGAGCACCATTAAACCCATAAGAATCACCTTTTTGCTGCTCCTACCCGCCCTACCCTCTTCGTCGTTGAATCTTCGACATCAATATTGGAGCCAGATCAAGCAAGCTATCTCTGCTATCTTGAAATTGAACGACATCAAGTGATACTCAAGTGCAGCCGTCCTGGGCACGTCAGTCGTAAATCAACATTCCGTGCCCTGGCCTCTCCACGCTGAACCATTGGTATCGCCATCCGGAGACTACCTCAGAGACAAAGCAGTTTGCAAGCTGGCAAACACATCAGCCCTAGCTAGCTGCCATTCGTTTATGTGGCCAACTGTCGCGGACCCTTGATTTCCACGTCCCGAAGCAAACTGCTTTGACCCTGCGCCCTCGGCCGAAAGCTCGTCTCGAGTTTTTTTCAACTTTCGGCACAGGCGGTAGCAGCGGTAGCAACACTGCTAGCTAGCAAGACCAGCCCGATGATTTGGGACAGCGAAAGTGAATCAAGTGACATCTTCTGGCTCGGAATCTGCCCCATCCACACATTCTTTCTCCTTGTCAAAGAAGGCAGCTGAACCAGAAAGGCCATGTAACATAGCTCGAGCTTGCCTGCGCTCTTCGATGCTGGGGGAACAGACAAAAACGTGAGATTGCCGATCTTTGTGCTGGGATGACTGCTGCAGCCAGGCTCCCAACAATCCCAGTGGTCTGCCAGGGGCAGATGCATCCCGGGGGCAGCAAGTGCGCTCACGGCGACACAAGCCGTGCGCCGCATTGGCACAGTGCGCAATCATCTTCTTGGTTTTGGGATTGTAACGGATCGAACCAAGGCCTTCAGGCAGCAACAGGATTTGCTCTTTGGTTTCCTTTGCTCTCCTGGCTGCAGCTTTACTGGAAGGCCCGGATGCCTCTTTAGCAGCCGCACGCACTGCCGCAGGCACTGATCTGTTGTCACTCTTGCGGTCGTCTTCCTTCTGGATTCCAAGCTGTGCCTGGTAGTCGGCCAAGCCTCCCACGACGTCCTCCCCAGAGGGCTCGACGTCCTCGTCCTCGGTCTCATCCTCGCCAATCGGCTGAGTCTGAGTGTCCTCGAAATTTGCATCAAAATCAACACTGCCAACTCCAGCAGCTTCCATGTTCACATCCTCTTGCCAGTCCCCGGCATCCACTGCATCTTGGGAATCATGTGGACGCTGTCCTCTGAGTCGCGATTCTGCCTTCTTTTCCTTGCGGGCAGCAGCAGCAGCACGTTCTCGTGCTCGTCTCTGCCGCTCGAGTCTCTCTTCGAAGGAGCCCTACAGGGTGCCAGAGCATTCAAACACGAAAGATGAATCCACAGCAGAAACAGAAATGATGACCTTGGGCTATGGACGGCTGAAAGCTGCAAAATTCCCGCATCGCAAACCCAACCTATAACTAGCTGCACCTAGCTGCTTAGCCGTAGCCGTTTCATTCCAATGCGTCGGACAAGAAACGTCTTTGGCTACTGACGTGACGGCTGGTGACTGGCACTAGTGACACTATAGTGCCGGCTAGTGACTGCTAGTGAGGCTAGCGGCTAGCGGTACTGACCACTGAGAGTACCTATCATCAATCACCACAAAGAAGACATTTTTGAATTTGAATGTTGTATCTTATCTTCGAAGAACATTGTGTTTGCCCCTCAAAACAAAATCCTTGTGCCTTCCAAACCCGGAACTCGGGTATCGACTCCAAAGCAGAAACTTCGACGACGTTAGGAGCCATGTCGAGCATCGGCAGGGCTTCTTCGTCTTGCAAAATAACATGTAAACGGGCAGTCCATGGCCAGCCGAAGTCAATACACTCCTTGAATGTGTCAAAGCTGGATCGGAAAACAGGCTCCTGCGGAACAGACAAGATTTTCCTGTCTCGGAAAGGCTGTTCAGAAGCCTCCTCCAGCTCCAAGGTTGCAAAGGCATAGGTGCGAAAGTTGCAAAAGGACATATGGAACCAGCGAGTGGTCTGCACGGTAGCGCTAGACTCACTCTTGCCTCCGTCATTCGCAAGAGCCGGCAGAACAGCAAGTGCTGCGTCACCCCAGCCTTCTTCACGGTAAATGCCAGAATAATTCAAACGACTTGATGGACCCGGAGCAAACCCAGATGCTTCTTTCCTCAACTCCAAAACAAGCAGCGCCTCATCCAGCAATCTTCTGGCCAAGGGCGTTCGCTCCTTCTTGGTCCGCTTTTCTCCCGCCTTGTTGCGACGAAGTACCGTGTGAGGCTTCAGCAAAGAAACCAGGTTGGATTGGAAATACCACCCATCAAGACCCTTTCCAGAGCACACGCATGTTTTCCATTTGTAGCAGTCCGTCTCCCGTGGGCCCAAACTCTCTGCTGCCGCTGTGTCCTTAACACACCTCATCATGCAGTGTTCTGTCCACGTGGCAGTCAGCGCAGGTCGCAAGCCCTGCAGATTCTTGCCAGGCAGATCCTGCAAACACATGTGAGCATGTCGGTGGCAACAGAAGAAGCGCACACACACACACACACACACCGTCACTGTACTTTGCAAAGCGTTCACTATACTTATACCGATACCTGAACGCCGTACCGGACCTAGCCGCTAGCTAGCCTGGCACTAGGATCGCTGTGGCCGCTATGGCTACAGCTTCGAGAAGGTAAGCCACAAGCAGTGGGACTTGGGCCCATACAACTAGCAGTGAAATAGCACCTAAGTCTACCTACTACTACACGTTACTACAAGGACTACAGTGACTACAATAATCACGTTCACATTACACACACTACGTGGCTGACCACATTACATTCGAAATCGCGGCTACTTCACCCTTGGCCAAACTGCGGAATGTTGTTTTCACACACGTTCAAGCCCTACACTTCCCCTGCCCCTGCTGGGGTTGGATGATCTCGAAACTTGCACACACTCAAGTTCCAGCTTCGATTCTTGTAAGTCAAACTCCAAAAGCTTTTATTTTTCCTGCTATGAACCCAACCGGCCTCAAGCAAATTGGCCGGCAAGCTGAAATCCACAACAGCCAAGGACCCTGGATAGACAATGGCAGCAGGGGGAGCATCTGAGCTGGATGTGGAGGTCCCAGGAGGAAGCGGTATTGTCCCAGTGCCGACAAGCTCCTGCGAACATTTACGGAATTTCTCGCAGGCCAATTCATTCTCCTGTCTCTTCCGCTTTTTGCCAAGGCGGCAATCACTTCGAATGATGGCCAAACTTGTTTCCACAGGCTGCAGCAAATGGATGTTAGACCAATTCTGTCGAGCAAGTTGTGCACGTGGAACTTTACCCCTGCGACCGAATGCCGGACCTCCATGCCGCACTGCAATGGTGCCTAGTCGGCCAGCTGCACAGAGCTCACTGAATCGCTCTGGGTCATTCCTTTTCAGGTGTCTGTACTGCTGCATCAACAGTGTGAGTGAACGACGAGTGAGTTTCATTCCTCTGGAGTGCATGGATAAGAATGCACGCCAAGGTCCACCACCTCCTTTTTTCTTCCGTTGCGCTCCAACTTGGGCCTCTCCGCGAGCACGTCTGCCTGGCTTTCGGCTCCCCTTCAGTGGCCCACACATCAGACGCCGCTTCGCTGCAGTCTTTCTGGTGAAATTGCGACAGACCAGGTCTGCGGCCACAAGCTCTAAAGTAAGCGTCTGGCTCTGGGTCGCTCTGATGACGTTGACTTTTCTCAAGGAGCTGTGCTTGCACTCAATTTGTGCAATGTCGGTGTACATGAGCTCCGCCAAGCTGCTCAAGAGCAGCTGGCAATCCCGTGATTGAAATTGCTCCGCACTGGGGAACTGCTGGATCATGTAAGAAGTCAAACGATCATACATGCACGGTTTGTCATTGAAGATTGCTTGACACCCTGCTTCGCCTGTTAATGCCCCGAACAGCTTCCACGGGTACCCTCGCCGCTCATCTGCCAACAGCAACCGGCAAGCGCCCGCAGCTCTAGCCAGGAGCCGGAAAGCCAACACTCTCGTCGAGCGAACGCAGCCTTTCTGGGGAAGAGCATCACATGCCTCATGGAACTGCTGCCTGCCATGCAAACTTGCGTGTGACCTACCCTTTACTTACAAAAAAATGCACTTGCTGAATCATTGCCAGGAAAGACTTAAAGTTAAGAATGCTATTGCCGAATGGGTCTAGGTCAAAAAGCCGAAGGCCTAAGGGCCTAAGGGCCTAAGGCTTTAAGGCAGGCCTGATGGGCTTCATATAGTCATATAACGCAGGGACACACTGGAAGATTGCAGTGAAGGGAGTGAACGTAACGATAATTGTTCATGCCATGGCCTCACCGTCTCGAAAAAAGCTTTCATGCTCTGGCCCAGGAAACCATCCAAGACCCGGAAGGAGCGGGCGCCACCAGCTGCAGCCAAGAACTGTTGACTTTCCTGCCACTCGTCCCCAGAGATCTTCAAGAAGTGGTGCATCAACATTAACGGCGCCTGCATGCAATGACGCATCAACACAAGAAGTGTGGGCGTCATGGGATGCGATGCCCATAGGACGGCCTTCTTCTTCATGCACCGGTTAATCTCGGCCCAATCAATATTTCCCACCATGAAGTCCAGCTTCTCAAGCCAGTCGTCGTCTGTTGGAGCTGCAGACCCGTCACGAAAGTCTTCGCTCGTCACTCCTCGAAAGTTGTCGGCGTCTGGGCCCCCAGCATCATCTTGATGATTCAGCGGGCCTGCTGCATTTGCAGCTACACCTCCCCAACCTGGCCCAGCTGCAGCATTGTCTTGCACGGAAGCCACAGGGTTTGCCCCGTGAAGTCGTTGCATCGATTGTTGCAGTAGTTGGTGGCAAAGTCCAAGTAGCCCTGCCCATCCGAGAGTTGTCTGACAACCGGTCCATTTTGCTCTTTGGAACGTCGGGCAGGCGGATGGTACTAAAGCTGGCACAAGGTGCTCTTTCATCTGTTGCAAAAGCTCGGAACGATCCAGCGAGTCGGCTTGAGGCGTCCAATGGTGTGGGACAGGGTTTTGCCAGTCTCCATTCAACAAAGCCAGGAGTACGTGTCTCTGACAGAGAAAGCGCTCCTGTGGAACTCGCCCACTGTCATCACAAGAGGCATCCAAGAAGAGATCCAGCACACCGGAACTGTAGTCTGCCCAGGCCTCCCGAGGCTCACCCTTGTGGACTTCGACGGTGTCATCGAGTACTTCGAAGAGCGCTTGGCGGAGTTTATGGGTCGCTCCGGCCGAGTACATGGAAAGGGCACAACTTATGAGCCCACTGATTTGGGATTTGAGGAAGGCGAACATGGCGGTCTGGACCTGCGAAGCTTTATGCACGTCGCACAGTGTGTGTGAAAGGAGCCACTCTGTATCTTGGGCTGAGATGGCCGCTTCACATGCCAAATTGCTGGCATGGCGGTCCGAGCAGGGCAAAGAGAAGGAGTGAACACCAGGGCCTGGAGGAATCAATTCATGAAGATCAGGCAAACAATTCTCAGCAAACCGTTGGCACCCACGAACACACGGTTCCGAACTGTCCTCACAGCATGTAAGGATAGGGGGGCAAGTGGTTTGTACCAAGACCGCTTTGTTCTCGGACACATGTCGGAATAAGACAGCAGCTGTAAATTCAGTTTGGAATACTTTGGCAGTTGAATCATCCTTGCCCTGGACACCTGGCCTCGCGGTCTTGATCTTCGTCGGCGTCTCGTCGTATCGGCGGCGTTTGAAGAGGCCCAAAGGTCTCCAAGACGTCGACATCCTGTCCTGGATGGCCTTCAAGAATCCTCCCCAAGCATGCTTAGACATAGAAAGCACTGATGCTGCACAATGCTTCATGTCTTTGGCCAAAGTGCCGCGGTCAAGCTGTAGCTTGGCAGACTCAGCTTTCAAGCTTGTGATGCTTCGTGACCAATGCAACAGCGGCCGGAAAACCTTGTTGTCGTTGCTGGCCTCGCGGTTTGCTGTGCCTTGTGCCACCCCGGAACAAGCCCTCCACAAAGCTTGACCCAATCCGACTCCGTAGACATGAGGCCCCAAATCCTGGCAGAAGCTAGTCTCTCTAGTCTCTGCAACGACCGGTTGCGCCGGCTGTGCACTCCTTGCAGCTGACTCATGACGCACGTCGGCACCGTCGTCATGGGTTCTCGAAGCATGCAACATGGAACGCAGCAGCCGGCTTCCGAAAGTGCCCGGCGGTCTCCCACGACCACGAGCACCCTTCTGTGGCTGCCCAGTTAGAACTACGTTGTGCTCCGGAGTCTCCGCTTCTGAAGCCTCCACACCTCCTCAGCCAACAGAATCATCATCCATGGCAGAAGCGATAGCAGCAGCAGCTGCTAGGACGAGTCCAGCATCAACAGCAACACCACTTGCTTTAAGAATAGAACACAACCACTAGTCACTAGCCACCGGAAACGGCACCTCCAAAGCTCCGTATAATCGACTGAAACCAAAAAAAACCTCTTACCTAAACCGTGAGCCCTACTCACAACTCTTGTGCCTTGAGATACACACCCAACTGCTGGACCGTGCGTCCTCAAATCAACACAAGTCCAACTACCCGATTTATGCTGCCCAGGGCAATTGCTATATGAGACCGGGGATAATGCAGGGAATGTGTTACTTTTCGCGGAATTGTGGCAGTTTCAGCCCATAGACTGAACTGAATAGACTCTAAGACTCTAAGACTTCACTATAAGAATCAAACCACACGTCTCACTGGTCTCGTCTACATAGTATACAACCTCCCATGTTGCAAGGGGAATCAAGCTTTGCAAGGAAGTACAAGACACCCCAGAATTCTCAGGCTTTGGCCTGAGCTTCACGAATAATGTAAGCCAGCCCGTGTTGCCTCGGGGCAAGGAAGCAGGAGGGTCCGGGTGGGTTCGGGGGTCGGTCGTAAGAGCCTACATGCTTTAGGTGGCTGGGTTAACCTTGAAGATAAACGGTCGCCTTTCCAGGTTTGTTATCGTGTGGGTTCTTGAACATTTGTGTGTTCTAAATGCAAATCGTACAAGTTGATACAAGAGAGAGATCCTGTGTATTACAACAGTAGCCAAAAGGGGCCGGGGTTTAGGGTTTTGGGGTTTATGATTCAGGGGTTTAGGGTTTTGGGTTTTGGGGTTTGTGCGGGTATTTGGGTTGCGGCCGCAGGGATTCCCTGTAAGCAATTCCCGAGGTCAGTCGGCAGTGTACAGACCCATGTTTCAGGCTGGTTTTCGAGCCCTGAAAGACAATACATATGAATACCGAATAGAATTCAATTCTGACTACATGTGTTCTACAGTAGCTTCATAAGCAATACTTACTCTAGCGACGGCTCTATAAAAAGAAGAAAAGTTACTGCCAACTTGGTCTTTCTCATCCATGTAGTACCTTAATACCTTAAAAGATCACGGAGAGACCAACCAACGAACGACTAATGAGACTAATGATCTTTTATTCACCTGAGGAAATCACTGGCACATAGCTGTCAGAGCCAGAAGTGCACATTGTTTGATAATTCGGAGACCTAATTATACCCTAACCGTGCCGCAACCAACAACCGAGAACCGTAAGCTTCCCTAAAGCCCGAATACGAAGCTTCAACAACCAGAAAAAGGCTTTTAGCCATGGCAGTCTCGAGGGCCTACATATAAGTAACAAGGGAATATCGGACTGTAGTCTTTACACATTCCGGGCATAGCAGGGACCGAACAAGAACGTAAAGCGCAGGAATACTGAGTACATGACCTCCTCACCCTGAACCATAAACCCCAAAACCCAAAACCCTAAACCCCTGAACCCCAAAACCCAAAACCCTAAACCCTAAACCCCTGAACCCCTAAACCCTAAACCCCTAAACCCTAAACCCCTGAGCCCCTCAACCTCCTCAAGTGCAGGAGTCGCAGGGTGTAGCGCTCTAGG